TCCTAGCTGAGCTGTGCAGAATGTACTAGAATGGGAAAGAGACTAGAGGCCAGAAATTATTACAAGGATCCAAATGAAATGGTGGTGGGCTGGACTAAGCGTAGCCTGGGGACAGTGAAGATGTCCAGGAAAGATGAGAGGTGCAGAGTTCATTATCAACTAGTCCCTAAGGTGATGTGGATGCCAGATGGGTGTCCTAAGATGTTAAAAAAAAAAAGTCCTCAATCATTTACAGACTACTACAAGACTTTAAATTTGTTCTATGACTACAAACACAACAAGAATGAGCCAGACTAAGAGGGAGGACTCTGTTCCACGAGCAACAGCCCCAAGTCTCACAGAACAAAGTGAGTGCTGGCAGAACAGACATATGCCCAGGACAGTAACTGTGTCAGGAATGCACAGGCTCAGAGGAAGATGCTCCCCCATAGGGAGCCTGTTTTCGCTGTCCACAGAATCACGAGTAACCTCAACAGCGCTGCGCAGACAGCCTGCAGCTGCCGGTCTCCCACGCTCCGTTCTTCGGGTCTCTTCCTCCCCCTCTGTTGGAAACACTGATTTTCAGAGCAACGTGCCAACACCAGCCATAATCTCTCCTCTGCCATTTCTGTCTGTATTCCTCCAGTCCTCAAGGCAAGTAAGTCGCAGTCTCTCAGTCCAGTTCATACAAGATTGGACCTAATTCACTGCCTAATCATTGCCTGAGCTCCGAGACGTCACCCTGAGCCTCCCTGCTCGCCTGTACACATCAGAATATGCCCTGAGCAGCCTTCATTTGACCTGCCATTCTGCTTATCAGGGCATCTGGGCAACAGCCTGTGGGGGATGAAACGTATGACTTCAAGATGCACGAAGGCTGCACTATCGCCCTGGCCCCGGGAGCCACGGGGCAGCTGGTTTCAATTGCACAATGCCTACGTAACTGCATTGCAAAAACCTGGGCTCTTTGTCGTTCTACTCCTCCAACCAGATTTATCTTCTTCAAACATCACTTTATTGGGTAACTCCTCTGCGCAAAACTGCCATTGGCTTCCCCTGCCCTGGCTGCCAAAATCAGCTTGCCTGAGCTACCCAATGTGTTCCCAGGTAGGCTCATCAGGTAGGTCTCTTGACTAGCTAGACCTGCTTTCATCTCTTGGCGCTGGCCCTGGACCCCCGCTTGAGACAAATGCCCCTTCTTTTTCCTTCCTGTGTACTTTGTAGTTCTCAACCCAAGCTGCGCTTTGGAATCACCTGAGGGGCTTTTAAAAAAATGCCCATGGAGGGAAGGGAATTGGGGGAAAGGGAGTAAAAGGGCAGGGAAGGGTGGTACCCTCTAAGATTCAGATTTAACTGAAGTGGCATGGGGTCCAGTCATCAGTATGCTTTCAAAAGCAATTCCCCCGTGATATTAATGTACAGCCAGAATGAAGGAAGAGCGTGCTGGTCTCATTTCCCAAGATGTAGCTCAAGTCCCATCTCCAATTCTCACCAGTTTCCCTCTCCTCTGAATCCCACAGCACTGGGGATCCCCTCCATACCACTTCCTGCCACACAGAGCCCCTCTCGTTGTTTCTGCTCCCAGATGTGTTCTTCCACGTGTCTCTAATCATACACAGCCTATGTAGCAGGAAGCATTTAGATGAGAGAAGTTGTAATGCAGGCTTGAGGCATTAAAGAATATTAGAATTGGCAGGAACTTCAGAAGGCAACTAGACAACAGGCTCTTGAACATTGGGGGGGTTGTGGGGGAGGACAGACTACTTTTGAAAACCTGGCAAAATCATGAATCTTCTCCCTGGAAATACATATACACAAAGAACTCTGCATAAAATTTCAGGGAGTCCAGAAGCACCTTAAATGATCCCCTATTCAAGCGCTCCTATGAACCATGAACCATAAACTGGTCTTTTTCTAACATGTGGATGAGATGCAGGGGCTCCAGGAGAAATGCCCAGAGTCAAAGTGGTGGCAGAGCTGGGTCCACACCCTGAACTCTCATTCATGCCACTAAATTCCCTTGTTTGGCATTGCCACTACTGCTCCAGATCCGCCATCTGATGATCATCTGGGCAAAACTGAACCATCAGAGGAGCCACCTTCTGCATCTGGATGGCCATGTGATGTGCACTGTCGGGTCAGGGGCCTACCACTTAAACCTCCTGCACTAACAGTTCAATAAACATAATACCTAGAACTTGAAATAAGTGGAATTTTCTACCTTTTTTTCTTTTCTTTTCCTTCCCCCCCCCCCTTTTTTTACTTTCACAGTTGCTAAAGAAAAACTCACCCGATTCTCCTTGATTGCTGGGCTGTCCTCCCCAAGAGCAAGGCGGGAAGCACAGGTCCGGAACTCGGCCAGGCCCAGGATGGGCAGGTACTCATGGTTTAGGCTATTGTCATTGGCAATCTTCTGCTCCACCTTCCTCACTACAGGCAGAACCCAGGGCTGGCAATCATCTGTACGATAAGCTGGACATGGGATAAAGTTATGTAACAAAGGAGTCTTAGTCTTTGTTCAAGAAAGAGTATGGAACTGTGAACACAGAGTTCTACTGTCTTCCGATCAAAATAGAACTGTGAGGGAAGTTAACATCAAATTCACTCACTCAGTTCACTCATTGCCTGCTTTGGGCCAGGCACTAGGTTAGGTACAAGGACAGAAATGGTTCCTGTCCTTTCAGAACTTACAACTCTTACACCCACAACTGCCAAAGGGCAGAATGCTGAGATAAAACTGGACTATCACAGAGTGGTAGCAAGTAAGAACGCATTTTGCAAAAGCACTCTGCAAACCACAAACTATCCAACAAATGCCCCTCCAATATTACTAGTACACTGAGGTCTCCACTGGCCCAGCAATCTTCTTCCTCCTGCATCTCCCCAAGAGATTTAAAAAAAAAAAAAAGGTGAGGTACTACACCTCAAACACAAACAAAAAGATAGAGGGGGTTGGAATAAGATCTACATCTTCCTCCTGGACCAAAAGGTGAGTAAATGTCCCGTGACTGAAGATCCCAACTGGTTACACAATCCCCTGAGCACCCACTTAAACACATCTTTGTCCTCTCTGTGCTCTGACATCAGTGTTTACCACTTCATCTGCTTCACACTTTTATTGATCTAAGTTTATTTCATAATCTTGCTTACAGCAAATTTCTCAGCATTTCTCCTACACTAAAATTATTTTTTAGCCTACTTTGAGTTCTCCTACCCTGATTTCTTTTTTCCCCATACTACCCTTTGATTATTTTAGGATTATAGCTTTAGAGGGCAGCTGCTTTGGCTGGCATCCAAGACTAGCTCTCTGACTAGGATCCCTACAGAGGTCATTTGCCTCTCTGCTTGGTGTAGGTCTCCAACAATCCTATACTTTTGCAAGACTTTGAAATTGAAATTTTTAAAGTGATTCTGGTTACATTTTATTTAGCTGATTTCTGTTCAGCATTAATTCCTGCCTTAAAAAAAAAAAAAAAAAGCTCACATTTTTAATGATCATGTGAACAACACAAGCTGATTACAGAAAATTTAGAAAAGCCCAGAAAGTAAATATAATGATTAACATGTAACCCCAGCATTCATTTTGGTGTACAATCTTCCAAGCTTTAACTCCCATGAATATATTCTTTTATAAAATATGCATCCTATTGTATGCTGAATTTTCAACATGCCTTTTTCCATTTAAATATGTACCATGAATATTTTTTGTTGTCATTAGCTATTCTTCTAATAAGTGATATGTTCACATGTTCCATCCCACCCAACCCTCCATTTACCTCATTCCAAATTCATTCCCACCATAAACAACTGTTCCTTTTGTATCTTTCCAGAATCTTGGCTTCTTATGTGCCCCCCCACCCCGCCCTTTTACACAAAAGGTATAGTATACCATATGCTATTTTGTTCCTTGGTTTTTCGGGTTGAAGATCTTTTTATATCTGTACATGTGTCCTTGTTCTTTTTACAGCTGCAGAGCTGATGAATGTACTATAATTAATTTTGCCAATCTCTTGTTGATGGACTTTTGAGTTGTTTCCAGTCTTTGGCTATTATGAAACAATATTTTAGTGAACAACCTTGCACATAAGTCATCTCACATGTATGCAATGCTGAAAATGGAAGAGTGTCAAAAATTTTCAGTTTTGACAGATCTTTCCAAATTGGCTTCCCTAGGGATTTTGTTAGTTTACATTCTTGCCAGCAACGTGCAAGAGTGTCCAGTTCCCTACGGCCTCAGCTCATTGAATTTTTGCCAACATTAGGGGTAAATGGTATCTCGTGATAGCTGTAATTTGCAATTCTCTTATTATTAATGCAATTGAGCATTTTTCACAAATATGAGCCATTTACTTACAACATTTTAGGTGCTAGACAATATTTTTTCTATGCATCATTTTTATGTTGCTTTCAATTATTTGCTACTATAAACATTGTGATGAATGTTCTTATACCTTTACACATATTTATGTGTGTTTCCTTGGAAAAGATTTCTAGATATAAAGTCACTAGACAACAAATAAGACTTTATAAGGTCATTTTTGAATTTGTGTGGGTCTTCAACTCTACCTTGCAGGGATGTGTCATCTACAAATCTGATAAGCATATCAAACTATTAATAAAAATGTGGACAGTGCTCCAGACTGACATAGTTACTAAACAACCAACAGCCACTGGGTAAGTGGCTCTAACTTACAATGTTACACCCCCTGGCCCACCAAACTAATTCCCTTTATCAGGTTTGAAAAACCTACCTTATCAGGTGGGATGTGGTGTTGTCTTTTTAAAAGCTACCAAAATAACTACTTCCAAGAAAGAGTCATTCCTGAAGTGATCTCCCTATCTATGATCATAATGCTACCATTGTTCAAAATGTTCTTGGAATTCTTTTGAAACTGTTTTTCGGGGTGACATGTCGTTATTTTGAATATCCACAATAGTGCCAAATCTTTATCCTTTGAAGGCAAAATTAATTTTTTGAAATAGTATTTGCAATACGCCCAGCACAGGAGGTGGATGAATAAACTGGGAACTATAAATGGAGAATATTTCTAAGCCATCTCATGTGGGAGTCTCACCGGCTTTGAAGCCATTCCAAAAGAGGGTTTCCAGAAATCTGTGAGCCACAGAAGTACACAGGGACCATATCTATCAAAAGGGTACCATTTATATGGACAAGACTTTGAGTGTTCATAGAAAAACCAGTTCTATTAACTTCTCATGTGTATTTGGGTGTTACATATTATGCTATATATGTTTCTAAAAATATATTTGTAAATCTAGTATTATAATTAAATATGAAAGATTTTTTTTTAAAAAAAATGCCATAGTGGGCCTCCCCTGGTGGCTCAGCAGTTGAGCACTGGGCTGCGAGGGTGCCCGCAGCCTCTGCAGCACTGGTTCGTTCACTGGCCGCCGGCGAGGGGCCCACAAAAAAAATAAAATAAAAAAATAAAAATAAAAATAAATAAAACCCACCATAGTGCCACTGTTCTTACCAATATTGTGCATTCTGTGCAATTCTAAAGAAATCCTGCAATACAGCATGGAGGGGATCATGCTCAGCGAAATAAGCCAGAAAGAAAAAGAAAAATACCGGATGGTCTCACTCATAGCAGGAATCTAGAAAACTTAAATAAGGGACCAGGAAAATGAATAACTATAAGAAAGTGAAAATCAAAATCAACAAAAAACTATGAACCAGAGACACTCTATGGGGGTTGGGGCCGGGGAGGGGACGGATTGGGGTCAAAATAAGGGGGTCGCAATTGTATGGGGAATATAAAATTTATAATAAAAAAAAAGAAATCCTGCAATACAACAGGAGGCAGGTAGGCATGGTATCTATATTGTGACAAATGAAAATCTAGACAATTTATACCTTCCCTTCCTTCTTCACTGCTTTAGTTTCCCCCAGGTTCAGTTTCAGATTTATTCCCAGTGCCTGACCCAACTGCCCTCATCAAGCAGAACTGCAGATTACTCTGGACAGTCGGAGCAAGAGGTCAGGCAGTATCAACAACCACTATTCCTATTCTCCCAGGGGATTTTTACTACTGCCTGTGGGAGCCATGAGTTTCTCAATCATCTTTCATTCACTCATTCATTTAAAAAGGACTTAATAAATCTATCCAGAATCTTGACAGGTTGGAGATCTTCCAGAATTGACTGGAGGTAGCTGCACAGACATAAATGAGATTAAAAAAAATTCTGTTTTCCCTTCCAGGAAATAGACTATGGAGCCCTGATTCTCCTGTGAGGGGTCAGGGAAGATTTTACCAAGGATCAAGTGTGAGAGAATTTGAAAGGAAGACAAGGGAAGGGGAGCACTCCAGAGAGAGGGAACACCTGTGCAAACTCCCAGAGGTTTGGAGAGATGAGGTTTTTGAGGGTCTGCATTTTCATAGCTCTGACACAGGAGGAAGAGGAAGCACCAGGAGTGGCTCAACGAGTCTTGGAGTCTCTTCAAAGAAACTTTGCTTCAATGGGGAAACACTGGCAGCATTTAAGCAAGAGAGTTACATGGACAGCTGCACATTTCTAGAGGGTCACTTGAGTGACATCTTAGAAAATAAAAATGGGGGCCTCCCTGGTGGCGCAAGGAGTTAAGTCACAGCACTATGAAGCAATCTGCAGCCACTGCAGCACAGCACAAGTTCGATCCCCAGCTGGCCAGGGAGCTGACCCTCGCGCAGCAGGCCTCTCCTATCTTGCCTGTTGCCCCCCTCAACAGTGTATTTCAGTCAATGCACCTGTTCTGTTCCCCACTTGTCTCTGGCGAATCCTCTACTCCCCCACCTCACTTCTGGCCTGTACCTCAGCTCTTGTATGCATAAATAAATAAATCTTTTAAAAAAAAAAAAAAAAGAAAGAAAGAAAAACAGGAGGAGGACAGGTAGACAGTTAAGCCAGGAGATTACTGAGGTAATCCAGAAAGGAAGTGAGGTCTTGAATTAAGGCAGTGGCAGCAGGGATTTAAAAAAGGGGGAGATATTTAAAACAGATTTTTAAGGTAGAAAACACAAAACCTAATGGCAAAATAAGTACATATAGGACCAAGGAAAGGGCTATTGATAGCTCCAAGGTCTTTCTCAGGTCTGGATAATGACTGCTGATCATTATAAAACATAAAGGAAAGAAAAAAAAAATTGAGGGGAAGATGGAAATGCTAAGTTGTTTTAAAGATGTTAGGTTTCAGGTGCTTGTCCAACAAACTGTAGCAAGTACATGCCCAGCTTCAGGAAAGAAGTGCAGGGTGAAAGTAAAGGTTTTGTAATTATAGACATTAATAGTGGCTGAAGCCATAATAATAAGGAAACTGAGCCCAAAAAAGTTGAATAATTTCTTCAAGATCACAAGGATTATAAGAGCTATGCTGTTTCATACTATGAAGTTCTTGCATCTGTGTGCTTTTTTTTTTTTTTTCCCCCTCCTTTAAGAGCAAGAAGCATTTAGGGAGAACATGGAGCAAGCCGCCCCAGAGGATTGCTGTAGGAGGTCTTTTTATCAGTATGCTCCCCAATTCCATGCACTACTGCCCCTCTTCCTGGGTTCAAGCCCCTTTAGAGGAGTCACACAGGTTTCAGGGGTGTCCGGTAGTCTTGCTTTCCAGAAGAAAAGAAGAAAAGAACTAAAATGATCAAATGGTCGCCCTTGTGTTCTTCCTAAAATTTCCAATTCCCCCACCCATCAGTTACATCTCTGAGTACTGCAAGGGGTGGGGGAGATTCAGAAACACCTGATACAGCACATCTTTCCAACAATTTTATCTGAAGATGTTAGATAACATTTTAAACAACCAATATTACAGCAAGCCAAAGGAGGCTGGGTTTACGTGATAAGCCTACTGGAGCCTACGAAGAAATCTGCTCAGGCTGCAGTCATCAGCAGGTTGGAGTCAAGCCTCCCCCGCTTGGAAACCCCTTGCCTGACACTTTGAGAAGCACAAAAACAGTCAACTCAGAGCGCATCATACTGCACAGTGGAAAATGCAATGCTCTGGTACACTATTAGGAAATGACTAAAATAATCCCAGGCAGAAGAAAATCTCTAGGGAAACTATTTGCAAGGAGGAACCAGCTGACAAGATTAGAGGTGCAGTTTATTTTAAACACACCCAGCATCACTTCTTACTAGGAAGTTATGAGCTCGATAATGTCCACTGGGCTTTAACTTGGCGGTGGGGGTGGGAGGAAAAGCATTGGCCCCAAATCCAGTGATTGGTTTCCTTCCCTTCACAAAAATGATTCTTTGAGATGTAAGTTGAGTTGGGACATACAAAAGTTGGAAAGAGACCTTGTATTCTATTCTGTGTTAATTAAACCCTTCTCCAAGCTCATCCCATCCATAAAAAAGCAAGTCACAGTGATGATCAAAAACAATATTTACATAATATGTTTCACTTTCATATCCCATTTCACAAATAATTATTCATTTACTCTTTAGTCAACTGGAGGCAGGTAACATTATCCTACCCTACAGTAATGTCATGTGCTAGTGAATCTTAAGAGCAGAATTGTAGAGGTTATTCAGTCCTGGCTCCTCACTTAATGCACCAAGACCCTGGGGATGTTAAATAATACTCCCAAGGTCACACTGCTGGACCACAGGGCTGGGCCTGTCCCCACTACAGTGCTGGCTGCCTCTGTACCACCTAAAGATATCAAAATAGAGACAGGGGCAGAGTTACCCTGGGGCTTCAGAGACCTGGCCTGAAATCCCAACTCTGCGCCCCACTACTATATGACTTGGGGCAAACTGCTTCCTTAATCTGGGCTTCAGCTTCCTTACCTTTAAAACAGTAACAAACAACCACCAGAGTGGCATAAGCACTTAATGACATTAAATGCAGAAATCATTTACTCATAGTAAGGCGTTGAAAGGAGTAAGTTCCTGGAAAACATAAAGGTGACACACACACCATGTCCTCAGCCAATCACTTGTGGCCTGGGCTGGAAAGCTGCTTTTTTCCTTCACGAGCCATTTATTTCTGAACCTACGTCAGAAATTATTTCATTCTGTAGTTCTTGGACTGAGAATTTTTATTTAATATCTTTTCAAGCAACCTCAAAGAAATGTCAAAACAGCAATGTGAGAGTAACAGCCAATACTTATGTAATTCCTACTAAGGTGCCAGACAGTATTCTACGTACTCTCAATGTATTTATGCCTCACCAAAATCCCGTAAGACAGTACCCAGGTAATTTAGCCAATAAAACCTGAGGTTTTAAAAAGATGTACTAAGAAAAAATAAAAATAAAAATAAAAATAAAAAGATGTACTAAGATCAAATCAATATTAGTTCTTCACTACATATCTGGCCCTAAAGAAATACTTGGAGATTTAGATTGGATTTAAATTAAGAGCTCGAATGGCATTCATTCCAATTCAACTCAAGACAATCTTTCAATTCTCCCACTCTAGTAGCACTGACTTTTTATTTAACCACTTTATTGTGGAAAATTTCAATATATGAAAGTTGTGAGAATTATATAATGAATGCCCAGCTTCAACAAATTACCAGCTTCAACAAGCCATTATTTTTAATAGCTTTTTTCTTACCCCTCCCTCAAGGCTCCTTGGTGCAGATTTTTTTTAACAGGTCCTTCCTAGGTACACACACAGTCAAGTCACCAGAAGCCTGATTTTTGAACCTCCTCCTCACTAGCCTCTGTATGAAACAGTTCAGTTTTCTCTTTCTAAAATTTCCAGTCCTTTCACTCTAAATCCCTAGCTTAAGTTCTCTAGCATAAGACATCATCCTACTCATTTTCTTCTCCCTGGATGGTCTTTGTATGTGACAAAACCCAAATCCAGAAAAATGTCTGTGAAGTTTCAAACATCCAAATGATGATGACAGAAATAACAAATTCACCAGAGAAGATTAGAGTCGAAAGGAATCTTTAGACACTCCAGTCCAAATCTTTTGCTTGACAGATAGGGAAACTGAGGCCCATGCTCTGAACTGTCCAAGATCCAAAAATAGAAGAAATGAAAGCAAGAATGCGCGGGCAACGAGTTTCTACTGCCCATACTCTCCACTCCCTTTACCCATTGCCACTGCATCTGTGAGGGCGAGAACATTCCTCCCAGATCTCACCAGGCAGCATCAGCCTCTATCAGCAGCATTTTAGATCTCTAGCAAAGCGCTTAACATCTGCTTATTTTGATTTTCTTGAAGACAAAATCAAGCCTCACCCTTCCTCGCTCCCCCAGGCTTAGTAAGCACCTGGCGGTCACTCAAACACTCACCCACCCAGACCAGAGCTCCCTACGGCTGAGTTCTCTTCTATCCATTCCTCAGCACCCAGCACCCCGAGCCTATCAGGCGTCCTACTTTCCTGTCCGGATTACAATCCCTCGCCGTCCCATTTCTTAAGAGTCAAAAGGAGTAGTGTAAGAAACAGAGGATGGAGAATCGGGAAAGCTCAGCGTGTACCCTGCCCGCTACCCCAGATCTGTGTGATCTTGGGCACAGCGCCCTTTTCCAGTAATTTAATATCCCCATCCATAAAATGGGCGGGTTGAACTCCGCCTCATGGATCACGCCTCCTCCCGGGGGTTCCCCTTTGCAGGCAGCACCCAGATGGACACGGGCTGCTCCACACAGGGCTGGGTCCGCGCCACTCCCCAGGTAGCGCGCGCTCCGGACACCGCATCCTCCTTACCTCCCACTCCCAGGTTGACCTTGCGGGGGTCCGGATCCTCCCGGAAGTCAGCAGTGAGCTTAAAGACAAGGACGGGCTGAGCCTGCGGGACCTCAGCAAAGATTGACGGCCGCGCCATAGCTAGAGAGTAGGACTTGGCTGAGAGCCTGCAGCCTGCGCCGGGAGCCTCTGGGTTGGTCTGGCCGCGGCGCTGGAGGAGACTCTCACCTTCACCTAGTCGCCGGGGGCGGGCCCGCGGCCTCCAATGAGCAGGCCGCGTCCGGAGCTTGGCAACGCGGTGAACCAATCGCGAGCTAGTGACGCAAAAAGAGCCAGGCGGGAGGGGATGCTATTAGCCAATCCAGTGAGAGTATCTTCTCGGAGGCCGATTATGATGCCGCCAATGTAAGGTACCTTGGCTTAAGTGGGGGCGGGAGCTAGGGCTGATTGGCAGCGTGTGCTCCTATCGCTGAGACTGTTATTCGCGCTGAGGGGCGGGGCGTAGCTGGTGGGCGCTGGAGGCGGCCTCCTCGACCTTCCAGGGCCGGGAGAAGGGGGAGCGCAGCCCGCGGGAATTCCGGGGGACCGGCCTTCCGGTACCCGCGGAGCAGGTGTCTCGCTGCCAGTACGGCTCTGGCCCGGGCTGCCCGCCAAGTCCCTGGCGTCCGCGCTCGCTCGGACGCGAGTCCTGGGCCAGGACGTGCAGCACCGGAGTCCGCGCGGGCGACCTTGACCACCGCGGCGGGCAGTTCTCCCCGAGGGAAGTGTGGGTGGGCGGCCGGCCTTGCTCTCTGACGGGGAGCGCCCTACCACACGTGAGGGAGTGGCCTGGAATGCCTTGCTGCTGCTCTTGTATACTTTGGGGTTTGTGCTCTGCTTTCCCCACCGAGGGCCTGGACCTCGAGGACCTTCAGGATCTGGGCGCGGCCTCCCTTCCCAGTTTTCCGCCCCTCCCCGCTCAGCCAGAACTTGCTGTCCTGGGCTGGCTGACGCCCAGGCAGCCTCTTCTCTTAGGCAGGCTCTCCCGTCCCCCTGCTGCTCCTTCCTCCCCAGCCCCCTCGCCACCTATTGACCTTCAAAGACCCAGAGCAAAAGGCCTCAGCCAGGAAACCTTTCTTTTACCCTCACTCTGACCCAAATCTATGTCTTCCTGTGTTCTGTACCTGGTCGACAGTGTTAACCGTTTGAGAAAGTGCCCTAGTTAAGAACCTGCCTCTGAAGCCAGGCTACCTGGGTTTAGATTCTGGCTCTGCCACTTACTGACTTAGGCGGGTTTAGGCGTGTTACTTAACCTCTCTGTTCCTGCGGTGTCAAGTGGAGATAATAGTATTTTCCTCAGGAGGTTGTGGGGATATGTGAATTAATACGTAGAAAGTGCCTAGTTGCATATAGTAGGCATTTCCTAAAGGTTAACTACTGTTGTCATCCCACACTAGCCACACTCTGTCGATGGCAGTTTTTGACTAGAAATCTTACCCTGTATAAGCCTCCCTCAGTTTCAGAGCACTTAGTAAGCCCTCAATAATTAAGGTGGAAGCAGGCCGTTCTCTTGGTGTTTCAGAAGAAAACAATAACATGGGCCTTTATTCACTGGATAATAAAAGAAATACCAAAATGAATCTTGCACCCAAAAGAACAAACGCAACACCTTGCCAACCTCTGTGTCACCTGCAACTTTTCAGAAACTGCCTCTGGTTTTAAAGGTTAACTGTGCAGAGGTTTCATTAGCAGCACTTTCCTCTAAGGTTGAAAGTTCACCACTGAAGGCAAAATGACCATGAACTTCCAGTGATTCCAAAAGCAAGGGCAGAGGGCAATTGCTGAGAGGGGTGTTCTAGAGCCCAGGCTTCCCAGAGCTTCATTTAAAATCTGATCTATCTTCACAGCATTGGCCAACAATATCATGGTCACTCCTGATGTCACTCCCTGGAGGAAAAACAACCCCAGGTTACCTGAACATTCAACTTGACCGAGTCCAAACAAATATTTATTGATCACCCAAGCTGATCCGTAACCACGTCAGTGCTGGTTGGTTAAAGTGCCATGTGCAGTTTTTCTTCATGTCTTCATAATAGCTGTTCTAAATTTCAGGAAAAGGGCAAACTTTTTTTTTTGAGGGGGAGTAGGGTTTATAATACATTTGTGGGATCCAATTCTCAGCATACTTTCTTTAGGAATATGAGTAATCTTGGAGATTCCTTTAAGATCAGTGCTTCTGTCTTGTGCTCTACGGGCTGCCCCTCTAAGCAAATGCCAATCTTGAAATAAACAAAATGCTTTGCAGGCCATTGCTAATTTTAACACTGACTTAGAATGGTCTCAACACTGTCTTGCTGCTGTTCCGCCTCTTGAGAGGGGAACATCGCCCAGACAAGTAGGCAGCCAGGTAAAGTAAGTGCCCAGGGAAAGGGCAGTAAGGGTCAAATGAAGGAAGGGCTGGTATTCCCCTGCCTCCTCACTTTGTTGTGTCTATTTCTTCAAGCACCCTCTCCTTGACCTCCCTTCGGACTTTTTTCTCTTTTGAAAAGAATTGAAAGAAAGGGAACTGGGAACCACACAACAACAGCTTCATCTGTTGTTGAATTTCTTTAGAATCTGCTCTCTTGGAAAGCAGAAGCCTTCAGGACCGGGTAATACTGCCCCATAGCATAAGAGACAGGCCAGGCCTGGGCAGCAGTGGGCACTGTGTGAACCTCTAAGCAAATCCACATTTACTTGTTATACTCAGTCTTGCCCTTGAATACCCGGGACTAAATTTAGGAGCAAGTCAGGGGAGGGAGGAAGAGTCACAGTGTGACTAAATAGTAGATGATTGGTGATGTTCAGAACCCATAGGTGGTGCTGTTCTCTCACTGTGTTGAATTTTCTCATGCTAAAGAAAGTGATCACTTATCACCCTCTCCCATCAAATTAAAGGGCTTGTTTCCTGTTTGTGCCTTGATGGAACCATCTCTCCTTGCTTCTCATCCCTCACTTTTCTACTCCTTCCATTAAGTGTGGACCAAGTGATGGAAGGTCTCTTAGAAACTCCACACTTAATGGAAGGAGTAGAAAAGTGAGGGATGAGAAGCAAGGAGAGATGGTTCCATCCCAGTCTGCCAGGGTGCTGACCCATGTGCACAGCAGACCTCTCCTGTCTCGCCTGCTGCTCCCCTCAGCAGTGTATTTCAATAGATCTACCTGTTCTGCTCCCCACTTTCTGAATCCTCTCACCCACCCCAGACCCTGTATCTCTAGCCTGTATCCCTGTTCTTGTATGCTTAAATAAATAAATCTTTTAAAAAAAAATAGCAAATGCAGAGCACAAGAAACCAGTAGTCCTGAAGTCACAAGAAAATTTCCTCTCCCTGCCCTGTTTCTCCCTAAATGCATAACAAATATGACCACTTCTTGAGGAGTGTCTCAAGAAGCTTTATTGGGCCTCTCTGGTGGCGCAAGGGATTCAGCACCGCACTATGAGGTGATCCGCAGCCTCTGCAGCATGAGTTCGATCCCCGGCCGGCCAGGGAAAAACCACGTGGCGAAGCAGACCTCTCCTGTCTCTCCCGCTGCTCCCCTCAGCAGTGTGTTCAGTCAGTCTGCCTGTTCTGTTCTCCACTTGTCTCTGGTGAATCCTCTCACCCCCCACATCTCTGGCCAGTACCCCAGCTCTTGTATGCATAAATAAATAAATCTTAAAAAAAAAAAAAAGAAGCTTTATTTCCCCAAGTCGGGGTATCTTTTGTAATCATTGGGTCATGTCTTAAAATCCTACGCTTTGATACAAGACGAAAGTATATGAAGAGGGGCCTCCCGGTGGCGCAGCAGTTGAGCGCTGGGCTGCGAAGCTGCCCGCAGCCTCTGCAGCACTGGTTCGATCCCCGGCCACTGGCAAGGGTGCCACATGGTGCTCAGACCTCTTCTGCTGCCCCCACTGATCCCCTCAGCAGTGTATTTCGTCAGTCGGCCTATTCTGTTCTCCACTCTGGTGAATTCTCTCAGTCTCATCCTCATCCAGTCTCAACCAGTTTGAACCAGTCTCATCCAGTCTGAACCAGTTTGAACCAGTGAACCAGTTTGAACCAGTCTGAACCAGTTTGAACCAGTCTGAACCAGTCTCATCCAGTTTGAACCAGTTTGAACCAGTCTGAACCAGTTTGAACCAGTCTCATCCAGTCTCAACCAGTTTGAACCAGTTTGAACCAGTCTCATCCAGTCTCAACCAGTTTGAACCAGTTTGAACCAGTCTCATCCAGTTTGAACCAGTTTGAACCAGTCTGAACCAGTTTGAACCAGTCTGAACCAGTCTCATCCAGTTTGAACCAGTCTGAACCAGTTTGAACCAGTTTGAACCAGTCTGAACCAGTCTCATCCAGTTTGAACCAGTCTGAACCAGTTTGAACCAGTCTCATCCAGTTTGATCCAGTTTGAACCAGTCTGAACCAGTTTGAACCAGTTTGATCCAGTTTGATCCAGTCTGAACCAGTTTGAACCAGTTTGAACCAGTTTGATCCAGTTTGATCCAGTTTGATCCAGTCTGAACCAGTTGATCCAGTTTGATCCAGTTTGAACCAGTCTGAACCAGTTTGATCCAGTTTGAACCAGTTTGAACCAGTTTGATCCAGTTTGAACCAGTCTGAACCAGTTTGAACCAGTTTGATCCAGTCTGAACCAGTCTGAACCAGTTTGAACCAGTCTGAACCAGTTTGATCCAGTTTGAACCAGTCTGAACCAGTTTGAACCAGTTTGATCCAGTTTGATCCAGTCTGAACCAGTTTGAACCAGTTTGAACCAGTTTGAACCAGTTTGATCCAGTCTGAACCAGTCTGAACCAGTTTGAACCAGTTTGAACCAGTTTGATCCAGTTTGAACCAGTTTGATCCAGTTTGATCCAGTTTGAACCAGTCTGAACCAGTTTGAACCAGTTTGATCCAGTTTGAACCAGTCTGAACCAGTTTGATCCAGTTTGAACCAGTTTGAACCAGTTTGATCCAGTTTGAACCAGTCTGAACCAGTTTGAACCAGTTTGATCCAGTTTGAACCAGTCTGAACCAGTTTGAACCAGTCTGAACCAGTTTGAACCAGTCTGAACCAGTTTGATCCAGTTTGAACCAGTCTGAACCAGTTTGAACCAGTTTGATCCAGTTTGAACCAGTTTGAACCAGTTTGATCCAGTTTGAACCAGTTTGATCCAGTTTGATCCAGTTTGAACCAGTTTGAACCAGTTTGATCCAGTTTGATCCAGTTTGAACCAGTTTGAACCAGTT